CCATTTGGAATCCAGCATACTGTCACTGTGTGGAATTTTTTTGTATACAAATGTGTGTCATATATCTTTTTCCTATTCAAATTGGGTTGGGCCCAGGAAGGGCTCGTCTGCAACAGCAGATTTTGTTGCTCAAGGGAATAGACCCTGTGCTGCTATCCCCTTTTTTCCTATTAGTAACTTGCAGGATCTGTGTGGCATATGTCTGACTTTTGGCAAGGTCAGGATATACTCAGAAATTCATTAGGAGGCCCAGATTAATTATTAGTAAAGGTTTTCTCTGGTGATTTAGGTTTATTTCAAGATTTCAATGTATTTCTTTTCCCCTTTCCTTGCCTCCTGTGGAAGCAAAATTGTAGCAATCAACAAAAGCTTTTACTGTATGCTTTTCTCTTAGTTTAATGTTCTCTCATATGCAACACCTATATATTTAAAATAATATGAGCAAAGCAGTATATATATCCAGAAATCTATTGCATGTTTTACAAATCACCAACACCTTTTCCTGCTCTTTACCTAGGTGCAAGCCAATACTCCTCTGTACATAATTACTCTGGGTGCAGAAAGGAAGGTGAAATTTTGCCTGAGAAGCCTTTTAAGGATTCCAAATTAATCTCTTGTGTTTTTCCAAAAAGTAAAACTCACCTTCTGGAGCTAACATTCCCTCTAGGGGAGTTGTGATCCATAGATTATAGACAGAAAATGCTGTAGCTGCTCATTTGAAACCTTTGCAGCTGAAAGATCCTGAGTATGCTTAGTCTAAAAGACTAATGACAGTTTGTCCTTAGGAACTTTGTGCCCTCCACACGGAAGAAACTTTGTTGCTCAAATGTTTCCACCTCTCCTGTTCAGTCCGATTTAGGGAGAGTCATTGTGGTTACACAGGATACAGTGTTGCAGTTTTGTTATTCAGCTAAAAGGCCTGTCAAAAGTGCTTATGCAACACACTTCTCATGCTGAACGTCTTCATTGTGTTTGTTTAAATAATGTCACACCTTATTTTAAAGCTTGTCGATAGTCTAATATAAGGTTCTGTTACCGCAGAACCAACATTACAATACAATAGTAGAAAAAATTCCATCTTAGGTCTCAGAAGCTTAAAATTTCATTCCCAGCTGTATTCTAGTTTAATGAGTTTAATTAGATTTCCTAAACTCCCTTTTCAATTGTCTAACAGCAATGATACCTACTTCCTGCATAAAACACTTCACAGCCTATTGAGCAAAGCCCTACAAAACCAGTGTCCAGCAGAAAAAGCTGAATGGGGAAGATATGTATTATGAGTCGGAAGCTGAAAGGTGGCTAACTCAGAGCAGAGACAGGAGAACAAGGACTCCAGTCAGAAGTAAAAAGCTGTGTGGAAGGAGATGTATAGTTAAAGCCATACATAGCTGGAGTTTTGGTAATTGTTGGAAGTCAATAAATGCATCCCACATAGAATTAAGGATGTTATTATCTTATGCAGTGGGTTTCTGCCCTTTTCTTATTTTTGAATTTGTATTCTTTTGGGTGCTTTCCTCCTTGACAAACATAAAGAATATGAATGGTCATATATAAGTCAAGACACAAAGTCTCTTCAGCAATGACAGTGATTGAATGGACGGGGAAGAAAATCAATGCTTCCTCCAAACATTTTCCTGGTTTTCTACTAATTCTAGTTTATGGACTTCTTGAGCTGCATACTGTTCCTGTGCATTTAGAAAGTCTTGGTTGATTTATCTTTCATAGACTTGTTTCAGATCCATGTAAATATTCAACATGCATAACTTCCTTTGATGAGGAGTTCTATAGGTCTGTCACCTATGAATGCTTTATTTCTTTGCTTTGAACCTAACGCTGGCTTTTGTTCTTCTTTCAGAAGAAAGAGTCAAGAGTTTATCCCTACCCACCAGTCCATGTCACTCAAGTTTTTAAACCACTTCTATTCCATGGTTTTCCAGCACAAAGACTCCTCTCTGACCTGGTTTTTCTTCAGGTGAAACCTGTTCCATACACACCTCTTCTGCCCTTCTCACAGCATGTCACCATTCCGCTGAACACTTTCTGAGATAAGGGGCCTAGAACTGCTCACAGTATTCAAGTTGTCAGTCAATTCCAGTTTTATTTCACGGTACAATCATGTTCTCTCTTTTACTGTCTTTGCCTTTCCTAGTAATTTCTAGCAGTAAAATTGTGGTTTTGACTGCAATTGGGCATTGATATCTACAACTATTCATGCAGGAACCCATAACTTATTACTTTTTTTGTCCAAGTCTAACAAACTTGTTCAGCATAAAAAAGGAAAACATCAATAGTTTTGGATTTCACTTTTTTTTTTTTCACCTTTTACCCACCCTCTGAAGACCTGTTATAGGAAAGAATTAGTGTTACAGTAGATGTGTCTGAGGACTGTATGCATAAAATTTATTTAGTAGACATTTTATATAGTTTAATTAATTGATTTCATAACAAAACCCCACATTTTGTAGAAGTGGCAAATGGTATAGTTCTTTACAAATAAATTTTCCTCTCTTCTTTACTAACATATTTTAATACTGACCGACTTCTAAAATTACTAATGGGGACTGTAAATGTAAGTAATTAAGCTTAAGGCTTACTGAATTAGTCCTTAATGTGATTAATTTTTACATTTGAAAGAACTATAGAATAATTGACTAATTATTATAATGGACTTGCCATACTCATCAGTTTGAGTAATAAATAGTGTTACATAGATGATTCTACAGCCAGAATTCTATAGTCTTTTCTATCTTATCTTGTTTAATTTTGTGCTTTTTACAAAAGGTGTACCAGAATTTTTTAAAATATTTTTATTATTACCCCATTTTGTCAAAAATGGTGAAAATTATGCTCCATACCCCCCTTTTCTCTTAGCTGAGCAGACACCATATAGTATGGAATATCCCTTTGCTCAGTTTGGGTCAGCTTTCCTGGTGATGTTCCCTCCCAGTACCTTTCCCACCCGTAGCCTACTGGTGGTGGGAATGTTGGAGATATACAGCCTTGATGCTGAGCAAGCACTGCTCAGCAGGAGCCAAAGCCCTGGTGTGTCATCAACACCTTTGTAGCTACCAACACAAAGCACAGCACAAGAAGGGCTGCTATGGGGAAAATGAATTCCATCTCAACCAGACCCAGTACAGCTATCTATTTTTGAGTCCTGGATAAACAAAGGTCACGGAGCATTACTGAATAAATTCCCTACCTAAACTAAAATATAATGTATGATCTGATTATTAGATGTCTTATTACAGGAAATTTACTAGCACTTTTGCGCTTTTCTGCTCTGAGTTTTATTTTACCATTGACTAATAGCTTCTACGATCTTTTTGCTATTTGCTGTTTTGTCCTAACAGATTCTGGTCAAACCACCCTGTGACTGGCTCTGGTTGGTAGATCTTGCTTCAAAAGGTCTTCTAGATGAGGTTTGTAAAGCTTCTGTCCTGTAAGGCACCATTAGAAATCTTCCCCTAATTTACAATTACATTTAAGACACATCTGATAGCACTTATTTAATCAGTATAATGGTTGTCCCATTAAGCAGTGATGGTCGTATATTTATTGAAGCAAAATCAAGTAAAATGCCTTGTATAAATATAGGTCATCAGTAGTTACCTTTCCCAACTACAAACCTTGTTAGAAAATAAATTAGTTTGAAATGAGCTAGTTTCCAGAAGCCTATGTTGGTTGGATTCATTGATTCTATTATTTATTATTTGAGCCCATAATTTACTAGGATTAATAGCATGGTGACAGGCCAATAATTACTCAAGGCATCTCATTTAGCCTTTTACAAAATGGCATATTTACTTAGTTTTGGTCTTCTCCGACTTTCCTGCTTTTTCCATCTCAACAATGTTGCAAGTTTTTGACCAATTCTTCAAAAACTTTTAGATGCAGAATTTTAAAATATCGATTTGAGCAGTTCTAATTAAATGTTTCTCCAAGCGAAATTTAAGAAATTTGGTCTTCAACCTCACAGACTCTAATATGAACCTGAGGCATAGATTAATGACCTGATAATGCATACCATTTAATATCACATTCCTTAGATTAACCAGCCCAATTGGAAGCTTTCCAATAAAGAAGTGAAAAAGGCAGTACCTGTTAGAACTGGTTAAGTATCTGATATTAAAGAAATGCTGCCTTTGAAGTTTAAATGCTCTTTCAAAACCCATACTGTGCTACAAGTTTTCCAGCAGCCAGCACTATAGAACAGAGGTTCCTAATGTTTTATTCATAACAGGTCAGGTAATGAAAAAGATACCATGCTGAGCATTGCATGAAAAAAATTAACTGTTAATCTGATGCCTACACATTCAATAAAGGCCCTCAAAAATCAGAGCAGGGTTCCCTGTCTTTTAGAAGACTTGCCCTGGTACTCTCATGGTATTTGCTGTACTGCAGGAGACTGCTTTGCAAATGGACAAGAGCTCCTGGAGAAGCAATGGTACAGGAGAATGTGCCTAGAGAATGGGTCCCTGGCCTTGGACCAGTGAATGGACTGGCCCTAAGGTGCCTTCAGTGTCCCTCCAGGTGTTGCAGTCCAAGGGAGCATCATGTTTTCCCCAGGAGGCATGTGATCGATCAAAAGCTCTCTTTGCAGTCCCAGCAAATGGCCCTAAGGCTGCATGTATCCTGTGGCGCACAGTGTGGGAGCATCTGCTAGAAATGTACCCAAGTAAATGAATTTACCCTACTAATTTAACAAGTATTATTACACATTGTTAAACCTTTTCAATATCTAACAGCTCAGCTCATGACGGTCCACCAAGATCTTCATAAATACCTACCGAAGAAGGAAACTCTAAACTACAATCTAGATTATGGAGTTGAAATATATATCTATGGACCAAAATTTGTTCATTTTGTTCTGCTTGCATTGAAGATTCCTATCCTTTTCTGCTTATTGTTAGCACTTGTCAAATGCTGGCCATGATACTGACAGGTTGTGGTTTTTTTTTTCCTTCATATGCATCTGTTCAGAGATCAAATTTAGAACCTTATAAATAGCACCAAGATCATCCCTGCTGAAGCAAGAGGATATTTTAGGTGTTCTCCAATATGTAAATTCAACAGACTGGAGTTTTCATCAAATATCTTAAAAAGTAAGTAATCTTAACTCCAAATTCTTCTGGAAAATAAATTTATCTCTTCTGAACTCCATTATACAGTTTATAGCATATCTGGTTAAGCAATTATTTCATTCCTTATAGTGACAGCAAAGAACATTAAAGACTCTGGATTTGAACTGTTGGGGCAGAGATGCCAACTAAAGTATTTTAAAAGATATTCCATGTAAAATCTTTATTGAACAAATGTGTAACTGGTGTGCAAATCCAAATAAAACTACAGTGAATAGCTTAGTACAATTAATTTCTGTTAATTCATATTTACAATGTAAAAATTATTTCTCTTCTAAATTTGGAAATACTACATGATTGGCCAGTTGTTGAGAAAATAACATCAGAATAACTTCTACTTTGAATACTCTAGCTAAATGCAGGAATTAGGTCCCCATAGATAAGTCTGATTATGGGAAAAATAATTAGAAACCTTAATTTCCAGCATTTCAAGGTTTCTGATGAAATACCAATCTTTATAACTTTTAACTTAAAAAGAGATTTGCAAAGATCTTTCCTATAAGAAGCATGTGCTTGATAAATATAGAGATAACCGTGAGAGTAACTGTGAGGTGAAAAGCAGATTTTGCCAATAGCATTTGGAAAGTTAGAAAAGCAGGCTAAAGTGAAAAAAAAAGGGAAATGTTAGGAGAGTTTAATATCTTACATGAAAATCTGTGTAAATTGAATATGATTATGGTTGTCAGTCAGGAGTTTAACTACATAAATGCCATTCAAGCGGTGGAATACATGCATGTACCTATGCATTTACAGGCAAGTCCTGGTCAGAGTATTCGCTAAATCACTTAAGGATGTTAGCTGGGAGGAGAGAGCTCAGGGGGATCTCATCAATGGATATAACCACCTGATGGGAGGGAGTAACAGTGACAAAGCCAGACTCTTCAAAACCTGGCGGGACACGGCCCAGAACAGTCTGTTGTCAGTGACCCTGCACTGGCAGGGGGTTTGACCAGGCAATCCCCAGAGCACCCCCCAGCCTCACCCCATCAGTGGTCCAGGAGCTCCCTGAACCCATGCACTGCTCTGAGCAGGTATAATGTCTTTTCTAGCTGTGGCTCAGCATAAAAGCAATACTGAAGTGAAACAGGGTCAGTCCTTGTGGCTACTCTTGCTCATAGAATCATAGAATAGTTTGGGCTAGCCCAACTCCTGCAATGAGCAGGGACATTGCTCAAAGCACAGAAGGTAGACCTGCCAATTTTGAAGCTGTTTTCTGGATTTATACTCAGCCATGCTAATAACATAAGAAGCACGTAGACCAAATCTAAGAATTAATAAAATACCTTTGCAATCTGAAACACTCTGCAGTTCCAAAAGGTACATAATGCATCACAGAACCAATGTGCTTCATTTCTTATATTGCTTATGTATGATTCAGACAACCAGTCCTTCCTACACACAGGATATGTGAAATGGGCCCAGTGTGGGCAAAATTCAAACAGTTATAAAAACAGTTATTCCTTTCTTAGTCTAATCAGTCTATAGCTACAGAGTTGAACTATGGGTCAGCAGGAATAAAACAGATGCTGCAACATATTTTCTTTATTATTCTTTACTATTTACTATTTATTTATTTTACTATTCAGTATGCTGTCCTTTTCAAAGGCATGTAGCTAACCAGTGAGAATGTTTTTCTGGTATTCTTAATATGCTAACTGCAGTGTCCTTAAACATAAACCTTGAATTCTGTGGATATATTTGTATTTTTCTATTGTTTTACGATAGTAATATATAATATTGCAAAACATAAATTGCTGAAATTAGTATTTCTTTTCAAAATGAAAAATACTTTTAAAAAAACCCAAATTTCTAAGAATTCAGATGTGGCCACAATTTTTTAGGTAGGAAAAAGGATTGTTTAAAGCAATAGTTTACTTGAGATATATATTCTTTCAAAATTACCTTTTTTTTTTTTTTTTTTTGGTAACAATAGGGAAGTCTTGTATAACACTTGTAAATTAATATATAATAATTAGGAGTAAAAGAAGACTAATTTCTTTTGTTACAACAAAAAAATAGTCTTTTTTTTTTGTCATTTTCAAATCATCTTGAGTTTCTACAGAAAGACTCATTTGAGTTTGTGTCTTTAAGGCTGCTATTTTCATTTAAATTTAGGACAGTTAAGGCATAGATATTGGCTTGTTGCAAAACCTATTTTATTGATATTTACAATATTTTTGTCCAGCCAGAATGTCAAATTTTGAGCAGTTTCAGATCGACTTTTACCAGTCCAATTATACCATAGATGACCAGGAAGAAGGTGACAACATTTGTGGGTCTAACAAAAACCTCTGTGGAAGCAGAAAGTAAGTATGCTAAAAAGGGTTGCATAGTCAGTATAGTGGAAGTTTTAGTAGAACCATAGCAGTAGAAAGACAGGAGGAATCTTATTTCATTATTTTCTTACATTTTTTAAACCTATTGGTGACTTCTGCCTGTAGAAGAGGGAAACTGAGGGAAGAAGTTCTGAGAGTTTTGCCCTTAAGGAGATTTTGACAGGACTGCAGTAGGAAGGCTAGGTTTTGTGCTACTTTTATACGTACAGATGTTACAGGTTGTTTACCCAATTGGAGTGACTGAGCTTCATGTTATTAATGTGGATTTTATGGCACATATTGCTAGAAATTCTGTAATCTTCTCAGATTCCAGAAAAAAAAAATATTTGTATATGGCTCTTTCATTAGCTGTATAGACATATATGAGGATTGTCACCAGGTTGCTTAGTGGAAAAGTCAGGAGTGCCTCGATTTGTTGGTGCCCTCACAGCTCCTAAATTCCCTTTCCCCTCTCCTCAGTCTAGGGGCCTGCAATGTGCCATTGTCTGAGCTGTGTGAGTACAGAAGTGAGTGCAATAGGCTGCAATGTGCTGCAAACCGGCAAGCAGCCCTGCCTGATTTCAAAGGGAGTTGCAGTGAAGGGAAGCAAAGTCATGGTCAGCAGCTCAGAACTCACTACACACAATGGCTACTGTTCCCAGGTTCCCCAGATTGAAGATAGCGTCAAATTTAAATTGTGGTACATGGTGAGCAGCTCTAAGCTGTTGTGAAGCTGCTCATTGCAGTTACTTGGTTTCCTGTGATTTGCTTCTTGTCTTAGGAGCCAGACAGGAGAGCAACCTCCAGCCGGTGCTTTTGCCCCATCGGAAATGCTTCCGTCGTGTCAGAATTACACAGGTCAGATTTTGCAGCCAATGTACAATCCCAGCACTCTCTCCCATCTTAGTTACGCTGATGGATTTGATGAGGAACCTCCTTTGCTAGAAGGTAAAAATAAAACCATGCACAATGTGCATGGTTCCTGGGAGCGCCTATAGTTTTCTTTACCTGTAAAGAAACTGCAGCAAAGCTTCCTTGCCTGGCTATGTGAGCTTCGTATAACAGCCACTGGCCCCCAAACTTAAGTTTTCTCATCTGAATTCACACTGGATTTATGCAGCCCGATGACATGCATAGCATATACTTTACTACCACTAGATGACAGCATAACAGTAAGATTTGCATCCACATTTCCAAGTATTTTTTTCCATGCTGTGTTTATCCTGCACACATATCAGAACATCTATAATTAATAAATACTGATAATAATTCTTTTTTTCATATCTAGTAATAAATTTAATAGTTTTAATAGTTTTAAGATGCTAAATAACTTGTTTCAGAGGGAAAGAAATTGAGGAAGCTGCTTTCATCTTCCATTAGTCGATTATTTAACTATACAAACAATCATTCTTTCTGATGATTGAACCATCCTAATGCTACTTGTGCTACATTAAAAAACAATTGGAGAATCCATTTCTGGTTATTTCAGCATAATGTAGAAAGAGCGTATTCAGCTTGCTTTTGCACCCTGGAAAGCAAGTGGAGTTTTCCCTACTGAAAAGACACCACTACTGTGTTAAAATCAGCAAGCTCACACTCTCTGATATAGAAAACTGCTAGATTTCTACCTCTCAGACCTCCAAGCATTTAATTCCACATGCAGCTTACCCTGTGAAAAGGATTTTGAAACACAACTGCTTCTTATCTGCTGGGCTTCAGAAATATTCCTATCTGTGTACCACATAAATCTGACCAATTTCAATGCAAAATAACTTTATTTATATAATGGTTTGGCTCAGCTCCAGGTGATGGATCAGTGGAATAAGGTAAAGACTTGGCTTTCCAAACAATCTGACACACTGTCAGTCTCAATAATTCTGGCACCTAGTTTTGAACCCAACTTCTCCCATACTGGAGTATCTCAGGGAAGATGTTTCTCTTGCAAGCTGAAGTTTTCCTGGAGAAGTTATAAGAGACATCTTTGCCCCAGTAAAATTAATGGCAGAATTTCTGTTGACTTTAATGGTGAAGAATTTTGTTCCTTTTCTAGAGGTCCTCAGTAATTACTTTTAAAATGCAAAAGAGCTTATACAGCACTCTACAAAGTATTATTAACTTGCCTTGAAGGGACAAATGTCATTTTTAAGTGCCTCTGGCAGTTCAGTCTTAAGGCACATATCTTGTCAGATTTGCTAGAATAAAGTATATATATCTCTGTCCTCAGCCTTCTAGAGTATCTTGAGTTCTGCAGTTACATATTTTCAACATTTTTTCATATTTTTCAACATTGCATATTTTTCAACATTTCAGTTAGTGAGGTATTAGGTACATGTGGTTTAAGTACAAGGGAAACAAATATTAACTCAAAAATGCTGAGGGTAATTTTTTTTTTTTTGGGGGGGGGTTCACTGACTAGAATTGGATTTAATAAAGTAACATTCCAATTTAGAATCAGAACTGACTCTCAAATATACTGCATATATATCAGGGACATCCTGTGCCTAATACATACAATGTCATCCTACAACATTTTCTTCATTAAAACAATTAATTTGATTGCTTGTTTGGGGTCTTGTGTACCTAATGAGTTTCTGTAAAAGTGTTGTTTTCTTGGGAGCAATTAACAAACCTGAAATTTCTGATTGCAGAGCTTGGGATCAATTTTAAACACATATGGCAAAAAACATTAACAGTTCTAAATCCAATGAAGCCTGCAGATGGCAGCATCATGAATGAGACAGACCTCACCGGACCTATGGTTTTCTGTTTGGCCCTTGGAGCAACATTGCTGCTGGTAGGATGTGATAGGAATCTTAGCGGATTTCTTTCCTAACAAGCTAATGACTAGGTGATAATGCGTGTGAAGTTGCAGAAGATGTAGTACTGGCATAAAATGAGTCATTTGCTGTCGTTTGTTCTGAGATTATATATTAAAAAGTCTCCTTGCTTTGAAAGTACCTGCATAAAATTTAAATGTAATGTAGATGTGAAATGACATATTACTTCCAGTGGAAAGAAAATATTACACTATCTTTTGGGGTAGGATTTAGTATGAACAAAGCACAGATCTCTGCAGTGTTTATCTTGGGGAGGCTCTGGACCCCTGACGCATAGCAGTGTGCAGTAGGTAAGGACCTATCAAGGAGGTTTTAGAAGAGTGAATAAAAAGGCATAGCAGACCAGCCCATTTTTTTATAACATTCCTGCTACTGTTTTGAAATTGTCTTCTCTCAGTGTTATTTTAGGGAGTTCAAAGATGTAAAAAAATTTAATGTAACTAGAATAATTTGAGAAAGGTAATGGAAACAGTCTTTTTCTCTCCACCTCAAATTTGTAATACCTTGCTATAAATTTTTCTAGTCCTTTCTTAGTTTATATTCTTTTTCTACATCATCTGTTAAACAAAATATGGTAGCCTGTTTAACCTCTTTCTTCTTTATGAATATGGCTTTCCTACAGGAGGAAAGTTAAATGGGGATTGTGCAGTACCCCAGATTCATCTGTTTATCACTGACAACAGGGGCTCTCCAGTGCTGCTGAAGTACAGCTCTGATTGTCGGCAGCAATTCATCAGTCAGGGATAAGGTGGAACCATTCTGGAAGGTCTTTACTGCTCTGCAGCTGAGGTGAGAGAAATGATGCTCTAATTCTCCATCTCCTCTGTGACAAATAGTGCTGAATCAGAAGATTCTTGCAAGTTCTTACTCAATTTGTAATGTCAGTGCAGTACCTTGAACGTGCAAACTGCAATATAAATGGCAAGTATCATTATAATTTATGTCCCCATAAAAATAAAAATCTTTTTAAAGGGTGGAAGAGGCAGGAGGAAATGGAATAAGAGGAAAAGATGGTGGGAATCTAGAGAAGACAGGCTATTTTCCATGTAAAGAAATAGAGGTATGAGGGGAATAAAAGGAGAAAGTGTTGAATTGATTATAATTAGGAAAATGGAAGGAAAGCTAAAAGAAAGAAAAATGGCTGTTATTGATTTTGCTCCCTGAATAGCCAACAATTATAATGAAGATCAAAGCACTATTATTGAAATAAACTAATTGCCATATTTATTCTGGGATATTAAGCAGTTTGAGTGTCATTAGAAAAACAACTATTTTCAGTGCTCCAGTTTTAGGCCAGCAGAACTCCTCTGATACAGTGTTTTAGAGCTACAACTTCACAGCAATAAGTCTGTGGGTTTTCCATGGGCCTGTTCATTTTATCTCAGACGTATTTGAATGCTAACGTGGCTCTTCAGCTGTGTAAGCCATGATATCCTTTTGTGCCTGAATAGTTCTCTTCTAATAGCACCAGGAACATAATTTGGTTGAGAGCTTGATTCCAAAAATAATTTACAAATTTTATTTAATTTCAGCTTTTAACTACAGAAAAATATGCAAAGACATTCTTCAAATGGCAACTGTTCTTTCAAAGGACAGAGAAAAAGAGGAATGGGTTGTTAGTCTGACAGCAGGACTTGATCTTCCTCATGCTGAAACAGGGCAGCTCCACCGCAGATAGAGAAACAAGAGTGTGAAAGTAAGCAGAAGTCTGAGTCTCAGCTGCTTTCCATTTTATGCAGTCATTTATATGAAATCAGACTTCCCAACCCACTTAAACTAAGGATAGTAGTACCCCCACTCTAGGCAAATGCAAACAAATGCACAAAATTTTGACTTTCTTTTAACCTTGTTCCTTCTGAGGACAAATTTAGCTCCTTCCATTCATCAAAGCCTGTCAGACTAATCAAGCCTGATTCTGGTTTTGCTTACATCACTGTGAATTGGGAGTATTCCCGTGTGTGTGAGTCAATATATTTACATATGTTAAGAAAGACTAGAATTGGAGACGATATGTTCAGCTGCTTTCTTTTTACTCTCTCATTCCTCTGCACCACAAATCAATCATTTCACCAAGTAGAGATTTCAGCTAGGTGCTAGTGTTAGTGCTCCCTTCTCTCTCAATAGTTTCTTAATCTTAAACTAAGCTGCTAAATAGTGCTGTGTGGAATAGTTAATACACTGAAACAAGCAGTCTAAAATATTAGCTTGCAGTTGTTGCAACTCTCTGAGACAGAGTTTTTCTTATTTATTCTATAGTAAAGGCTACCCCAAACCATTGTGGATGTTAAAATTGTTACAAATCTTTAATGACTGAATTGTAATTGATAATAATCTAAGCTGGTGTTGCTCTCCCATGCTATCTCTAGCAATAATTAATTTTATTTGGCGAGTCTATTTTTCCTAATTATTTTATACCAGTAGTATACAAATGCCAGGGAAGCACTCCTCTGTGCCAAACCAGGAAGATTTCTTACCCTGTTAGTTCAGGAATAAATTATGCCTTTAGGGTGGAACACAGTGGGGAACAGGCCAACACTCAAGACATTGTGAGGATATAGCCAACCTGGCTGTACCTGACCTAACTTGGAGGACTAGAATCAGAGGAGAGCTCGGCGGTGAGCCAGGTCAAGCTGAAAACAGGGTAACAGTGCTGGTACAAAGGCAGGTCTTATTAGCTGAGGCTGCCTTTCACATAAGTGTGCACTGCTCTCCCACTAGACCTGGTTAGCTGTCATCAATATGCAACATTAGGACTTTCAGGCTGTGTCAGCACTGGATCAGGCTCTCTCCACTTCACTGCTTTCTATCTGTCCACCTCAACTACTGCTGGCATTACAGTGATAGCTTCCACTCTAATGGATACAGGAAGAAGGGGCAGAGAAGAAGGGTCCTCAAAGTTGATTTCCACCAGATTTTCTTAAAATGTATGGATAAGTAAAGTGGGAGGTCTTCTCAATCCTCCTTAGTCGTCATGAAAGAGATACTTGTAAATACTACAAACCATGAAAAAACCTTCAGTAATGATTCCACCTTATCCATCACAAAAGAATCCAACCATAAGCTATAAAAAGATTAGGAAACTGAGACCCTCTATTAGTTTTGATTCTCATGTGGTTTAGCATATGCAGTATATAATGTGTGCTATATGTAGACATGTGTGTATGCACAAGCACACCTGTGGTTTAAGTGTGTACATACATATTATTAATTGTCAGGAAAGTGAAACATTGTGGCCGTTCATTTGAAAAGTTTATTCCATGGTCCTGAGCTAAGGGTTGAGTGCCGGATTTAGCTTTCTCCTTCACAAAAGCATTTTATCATTAAGATATACAGTTCCAAGACAAAGCAAACAAAAACATCTTCATCCCAATATGTTTATTTCTGATGTATGAATGTTTATTTCAAAGCTACAGAAGTAGAAATGGCAGTCTTGCATAGCCAACATTCGGTATTTCATTTTTTAGAAGCTCAAAGAGAGAGAAAAAATATTTAACAGTCTTTTGTGAGTGTTCATTTTTGGGAGTGAACAATGCCTTCATGCCTGTACGTGATCCTTCAAAATGATAGCAAGAGATGAAGAAGTTGGTGGTGCTGTGGCCATTGTGGCCTGTTGTACTAGCTTTGTGTATAAATTAGAAAACATCAGGCTCCAGGCTGTCAGGCTGGTACCTTTCACAGCCACTAAATTCACACAAAGGAATAAAATCTGGGAGAAAACCCACAGTTGTTTTACTTTTTTTTTCATTCACTGGAACAAAATAGAACACAAGCTGACAGTTGCTACTCAGGTTTATGTTAAAATGAACCTGTTGTATTGATCTTACTACAGAGATGTGTCTTTCTCATGGTAGTCAAGGGAATGAATGGACATATTCACTCTGAAAACCAGCACACTTTCAGCAAAGTTTTACTAGTTTTATTGCAGGCCTGCCTGAAGTTCGAGGTTTGTAATAAAATTTAGCCTATCAACTAAGTCAGGTCATCATTTTACTTAGGAGACTTTTCCACAGCCCCATGTACACCTATTGGAAAGATGTTTCCTGACACTAAAATGTACTTTCCATAATTTCTTCTCAGTTTGTTACCAATTAAACCTTCCCAAGTCTCCCCGACCAATTCCTGTCCTGTTCAGAGCCCAATGAGAGTAAGACTGAGAATCAGCCTTATAATTTTAAGATAGCAACAAGCACACTCTCACAGTTGTACCTTAGAAATCACCCAACAGTATCAGCTATCATTTACAATTGAATTGGTGTAGGTGAAGCAGACAGAGTGTCAATGAGAAAAAATAACAAACCTAGTGCTTGCATTCTGTCTTCTCCTACCACTTTGCAATCACTTGCTCACTTCTGACACTTCATGCTTACTCATATTTATTCCAGGCCGGAAAAGTTCATTTTGGCTATGTGTATGGCATGAGTGCCATTGGATGCCTTGCTATGCATGCCCTGCTGAACCTGATGAGCGTCTCTGGAGTCTCGCATGGCTGTGTTGCAAGTGTCTTGGGCTACTGTCTGTTGCCCATGGTGATCCTGTCCTCTTCTGCAGTCATCTTCTCGCTACAGTAAGTACCATTCTATAACACCAGTAATTATATATCTATCTATATATATCTGACAGTACGTCAGAAGGCTAGTGTTATGCAAAACATGGGCAGGTGGTGAATTTTGACATCCAAAACTGCAACGAAAACCACCATTTTATTCATGTGTGTGAGTGAAATGGACAAAACTGGGCTGTATTTGAGAGGGGTGATATATATTCATTTTAATATGAGTACTTAATTCCACTTCTTCCCACTTGGATTGAAAGTGCCTTTGATTTGTGGAGCAGCCTCAGATGTGATTTTTGTTTTGCAGAGACCAACAGCAGCCAAACTCAGGTATCAATTTTAAAAGCAACTGCTGAACTTTGGTTTTATATAGCTGCTTCTCCTGTTTCTTTTTTTGTTCATAGTATCAGGCTCTCATCCTTACGCTTCCTTTCCTTCTGTAGACTAACTTCTGCATGACAGAATGAAATAATCAAGCAACCCTTAACAATTTGGAGCATTAGAACAAGTGTTTAATATTTACCAGAGTCATACACTCTGAGGTATAGTTGTGGTGTAATTGCAAACCTGAAAATAACTGGAAACTTTGAAAAAAACCAAATGTGTGGTGGCGTATGTATCCGTGTGGCTGTGGGTAGGTGTTCAGTAATATGCCTATGAATAGGAAATTTGTATGCAAACCTCTCCGTCCTCCTCATTTGGTAAGCCTTTTGAGATACAGACTGTGTTAACTCCTGGTTCACATTCAGCAAAGTACAAGGAAGCTACAGGTGTTGCCTGAAGGCCTTCAGCAGTGCTTTTATCTGTTGTTAACACATTTTTAATAAAGGCTCCCCTCCTTAGTCTTTGTTGTTCACTTACATTTTTAACTCTCCAATCTGTAATGGATGGGACTTGGCAGCTGATAAATAAGAAAATCCCTGTTTGTTTTCTTTGGAAAAGCTGCAATTTTATATATGTATATATTATTTTTAAAGGAAATGATATATTGGGATGAAGATTTTGGCACAACAAGGTAAATTCTTGCTTTGTGTTTCTATGGAGCTGATGAGCTAACCGGATCATATTCCAAGTATAGAAGTGTTTCTGAGCTGTCCTTGGTGAGATGAACAGTAGTGACACTGAAGAAGCCTTTTATTTTCTGTTCTACACTTCCCATATTTTCTTGATTAACCTGTTTAAGAATACACCCTAATAAAAGGTGCAGATACATAATTATATGACAGATGGGGCAAACTACAAACCAGCTGTTAAAACTGCGCAGGGTACTGTTATCTGTACAAGGAATCCCCGAGCACATGCCACACATTTGTAAAATGCTATGAATTTACAGAAATCACATCTTATGAACATCTGTAGATACTGTACTGTGAAAGCCTTTACAAAATTAAACCATTATTTCTGAAATTCATTGATAGCTTAAGTGCCTGTATACAGAATTCTGTAGTCCTTTCTCATTCACTCTATGAAACTGCTTGAACAGAGCAATTACCCAGGTTAACTATTACAAATACGCTATTAAAATAAAGTGGCAACTTTAAAATCCAACATATATTTCATTATTTTTACTTAAAATTACAAAGACAGAAATACATTAATGATTTTTAAAAATATTTACAATAATGTTATTTCTGTTTATTTCAAAGTATAAAGAACTTAAATGTTTGTTTTCATAGAAAATATTTGTAATATAATGCACACATCTATCACAAAGTTACATACTGATCCAACAATTTTGAATTTTATTATTAGTTTTTTCACTGTAACTTAATATAGCAAAATAGGGAGTGTTTTGAGTGTTGAATAGTACTGAAAAGAAAACCAGCTCTCCCATACAAACTTGTGGGGAACCAGATTTGTTTGCTGATATCATGTCTGAGCCCAAGCTGATTAGGTCATCTTTATGGGAGAATTATCAGCAGACTTTTTTTCCTGGAAAAATACACAATTCTTTACTATCAAATCCCTGAACAGAGTGGTCAAGACATTTCCTTAGATAAGCAGTGAAGGAAATGAGTGTAAAAGTGGAGAAAAAAGTTCTCAAACCCAGCTGATGCAAAGGACCCATTTGGTGATGGTGACCACATCTGCAGGTTGTGAAAAGGGTAGAGAGGGTCCACTCACATTTGTCCCCAGTTCAGTTGCACACTAGCACACCCCAAGTCCTCTTGGTCACTGTGAGAATGACATCTGCCTTTTGCCTGAGTATTTGGCCCTCAAGGACATGCCAGACACAAGCTCTCTGAAAAAGCCAAACCATTCCTTTTGGCAGTAACATGCTGTTAGACCAAGGCTGAATTTATAAGCACACAGAGGTATCTCTTGGCTGCAGTATGATTTTATGACACCTTTCCATCCTGCTCACTGCTGGTCCTGGAATAGCCCATGAGGGACAATTGGACTTCAATTCAAGGCAGAGCAGCTACAGCTTTAAGCTGTACTAGCTTGTGATAGTCCCCTAAAGAATCATTATACTAGCTGAAAATTGTCATCACAAAGTATTTTCCTGTTGCATCCCAGCCTTCTGCCAATATCAGTTCCTGCTCAAAACGCCATCCATACCAGCTCTGAATTTCTGGCTGTTTAGGAGAGTATCTTAGCATCTTTGTTTGAAACAAGAAGCCAGGAACTTGTTTCACAGAACCCAGTGTAATTTCCCTGAATGCCACTGTATAGACTTGAAGAACATTTAAACTAAGGATATTAAATCACATGGTCTTTGATGTTTTATCTTTAATGGGCTGAAGTTGCAACGAGGTGCTGAGTCACCTTAAAATCAATTCTCTCTTTCCTCCCCCAGAGTTCCAACCACTGACAACACCAAGTGCTTTATTGGCCTGGAATCTGGGTTGCCAAGAAATTAACTATTTTATGTGATATGATTGCATTGAGTGAACTAAGTCAATTAAATAAGAAGAGCTTTACTCATCATGATTTAATTAGAATAATAATATTAGTGGAGATTATTTCTGATAAATGGACCTAAGCAAGTATACATAGTCTGTCTCTCACTTCCGGTTCTGTTTCACTGATACTTTGGAAGAGTGGGGCACCAGGAAGTCCCTTAGCAAGTGGCAGAGGTTCATTCACTCTCAAAATCCTTGAGACTGACAGAGAGAAATGTAACAGAGCTGATCTCATTACGTGCTTCAGCAGTGTATTATGTGTGTGATCTCATGCATTTTACAGAGGCAGGCTGCAAATGCAGTGTACAAATAAAGCATATGTGAAACATTATTTATTTGGTTCCTACAGGTTTAATAGTGAGCTCTCCATAATCTGCAGGAATGTTTTAGTTGGCTTTTGAACACAGACCCATAGTCATCAGTTCTCCAGACCACCTGGCATATGAGATGTGGCAGAATGTAAATTCAGAAGTGCCCAGCTGTCACCAAGGGACAGTGTGGAAAGCCGCCATCCTTTCAATGTGCAGAGAAGGATACAAGGATGAGCTAAATATTTTTCCCCAGTGGTTCTTTTTCCATCACTTACTTTCTACTCAGTGTGCACCCTTTTTTAAAAGACCAGTTAAGCCTTCTCCTGGAAGGCACTCACCACCTTCCTGCCTGGTCAGATGAGGTATGATTCCTTAAGAGCCTCATTGCCTCTCCTCAGAATCCAAGGCACACTTAAAACATATGACACCTGTTACAAAAATGCAGCCCCTCCAGGTCATCAGTCTGCCTGGTGGAAGAGTAGGTCTGTAGTGTAATTTTAGATCCTAACAACTTCTACAAGAGAATTTTGGCTGCAATAGGACCTTTGCTAGCTTTACAATTAAACATTAGCTGTTACATCTGCTGGAGGCCAAGAAGCTTTATTTTGAAATGCATTGTCCTTTCAGCAGTACTTCTGTTGAAGATGCTGCTTTTATACATGTTGAAGTTACTTTTTTGTTTCCTGTTCTTGTTTTAATTTTTTTCTCAGGCTTGACTTTAATTATGTCAGTCAGTCCTTGGTTCTTCCAGTGACTGTTACCTTACCAGTAACAAGCTGCTAGACATGAACTCAGGTTTGATAAGGTTTGTTGCTACATTTACTAAGGAGTGGACTCTGTCATGTTTCTTTCATTGTTTTGTCTTTTTCTCCTAGGGGGACCCTGGGAACTTTGTTAGCTCTGTTTATTATTGGATGGTGCAGTTTGTCAGCCTCCAAAATTTTTACCTCTGCGTTGGCTATGGAAGGACAGCAGCTTCTTATCGCGTATCCATGTGCTTTACTTTATGGACTTTTTGCACTTCTAACAGTTTTCTGAGATGTATTTTCTGGTAACCTTATTACAGTCTGTTTATGGTTGCTGGAGGGGCAAGGGGTTATTTACTAATTTTTAGATTGCCTAGAGTTGCATTAAGTTCCATTAACAAAATTAGATTATGTAACCTACCTTTTATTTGCCTAATGGCTGACAATGAAATAAGAAATCAAGTTAACAGGTAGATGACTGCAATAATGGTGTTTTGGATGTCTTACAGCTTAAAAAAGAAATTTGTATTGAAAAGGAGGCAAAAGTTTGAAAATATGAAACTGATAATTTTAAAAAAATCTGTTCAGTGTTTAATATATAATACATATACTGGAGAGCTACTGGAAAGCAATTATGCAAATATTTTATAAATCTGGTAAATCAAGTGAAAATACACATTTATTTGTTTCAAAAAACCCATCTTGTCATTTTGTATGATTACTAATTAATATCCAGAATTTATGTGCTGGTTTGTTCTTTTTTTTTAACAAAAGAGTGAGTAGACCTGCTTTGTGATGTTGAAGAATTGCCCAAGGTTACAACAGAGGGAGGAAACTAGGAATGTCATCTTGGGTTTGCTTTTTTTCAGATGTGCTACTCTCCAAACCTCTATTGTACAGTTTGTAATGTACAGGAATGTTGTATTTTAAAATTGCCACTAAATGACCACCTGCTGTCACTGCAGAAAAGCACCACACAAAGTAAAAAAAACTCCTAAGAATGTTTCCTGCAAGGCAGAGCTGCATTTGAGCAAGCAAAATACAAATCTCCACAATTTTATCTGCCCCCCCCCCCCCCCAAATCTATTTACTGCTTTTAGTTTTACAGGAACCTAACATTTTTATAATGGCTATGAAGCACAGAGTGCACAAGATGATGTTTCAAAATATAATATTAGAGGTACCAAGCCATCAAGAGGAAATGGAGACGTGTGTACAGTCATAACAAGGACAAAATCTGGTGCACAGTGGTAGAGAAATGAATGTAGCTGTAGAAAGGGCTAGGGAAAAGAAACAGATGAAATAAAGGGAAATATGAAGCAAGTAAATGGCCGCAGATTTTTTCCTCAGTAGTTTAGGGTGTCTTCCCTCTTGATGTATATTTTATGATATCAATTATCCTCCAATTTATTCATTATTGTGATGAAATGCCTACAAAATATTTCTCTCTCTAGACAGAGGACCAATGATTCCATGAGAGAGGGTCCTGATACTGCAAGTACTTATGCAGAAGCTTAGTATGGCAAACCTGATGAAGAATACGATCTTTTTCAGGTCAGAGGTAAATTAAATGATAATTTTGTCCTCAAGCTAGTGATTCTGTTTCTGAATTGAAAGAGCATTTGGTAAAAATATTTCCCATTGCTGGCATATTTCATTTTTTGAGAACTCTCCTGCAAACCATACTGGAATTTATTTTATTGAACTCCAGTGTAACTAGTTTAGACTAGGGGTTATGAGAAATAAACAAAATGTAATGTGTACTTAGTTGTCCTGGTTTCAGCTTAGATAGTTAACTTTCTTCCTAGTAGCTGGTAAAATCCTGGGTTTTGTATTTAGGATGAGAACAATGCTGGTAACACACCGATGTTTTAGTTGTTGACATGTAATGCTTACCCAAAGTGAATGATTTCAGCCTCATGGTCTGCCAGTGAGGAGGGGCACAAGAAGCTGGGAGGGAGCACAGATAGGACACCGACCCAAACTAGCCAAAGCGATATTCCATACCATAGAACATCATGCTAAGTATATAAACTGGGGGCAGTTGGCCAGGAGCCACTGATCACTGCTGGGTATTATTCAGCAGTTGGTGAGCAATTGCATTGTGCATCACTTGGGCTTATTGAGTTCTATTCCTCTCTCTCTCTTTTTCCTATTATTAATTACATTTTATTTTGTTTCAATTATTAAACTGTTCTTATCTCAACCTGTGGGTTTTACCTTTTTCTGATTCTTCTCCCTCCATCTCACCAGATGTGGGGGAAGAAGGTAAGCAAGTAGCTGCATGGTACCTAGTTGTCAGCTAGGGTTAAACTATGACATAAGCCAATTCCTTAAAAAAATCACAATTCGTTTATACATGCATATATGTATACATATATAGTGCATTTGTCCATTTCTTTGTTGCAAAGCTATGAACACTGGCACAGAGAGGCAAAGTTGGAGTCATGACCCTGAAGCATATTGTGGCTGTAACTAGGCAGGACCTAGTTAGGAAGTGTGTGAATGTGGAAGGTCAGCATTTGTGTGAGCAACAGATTTGGCCCTGCCGTATCAGGCAGTAAATTTGCCACTGATGAGGCAAAGAGAAACATGTCAAGTGACTCCAGGCTATACAAAATCAGGCAGTTTGATTTATCATGTACTAGCGGCCTTCTCATGTCTGAATGGGGAAAGGTTCATATTGTTGAACTTTTTTCTGAAGTTCAGAAAAGATGGTTTGGAAACATTTAGATACGTTTTTGTCCTACACTTCCTATTTGTTATCGTTCAAACTGACTAAAAAAGTATAAAATGGTTCTATTCTGCAGCACTTTATATTCATTTTCATCCTGATCTGCATGATATGAATGGCTGAGGAGCCAATGAATCAAGCCATCAATTTGTCTTTTGATGTCATAGACAAATCAAATTATTTACAGGGAAAATTAACACCTTGAAATTTTTGCAACAACATTTACAAAGCAAATCACAGTATCACAGTATGCTGGAGATTGGAAGGGACCTCAAAAGATCATCTAGTCCAATCCCCCTGCCAGAGCAGGAACACCTAGATAATGTTACACAGGAATGTGTCCAGGCGGGCTTTGAATGTCTCCAGGGAAGGAGACTCCACAACCTCCCTGGGCAGCCTGTTCCAGTGTTCCGTCACCCTCACTGAGAAGAAGTTCCTTCTCAAGTTTAAGTGGAACCTCTTGTGTTCCAGTTTGTACCCATTACCCCTTGTCCTATCATTGTTTGCCACTGAGTAGAGCCTGGCTCCATCCTCGTGACACTCCCCCTTTATATATTTATAGACACTAATAAGGTCACCCCTCAGTCTCCTCTTCTCTAAACTATAAAGACCCAGCTCCCTCAGTCTTTCCTCATAAGGGAGATGCTCCACTCTCTTAATCATCTTGGTTGCCCTGCGCTGGACTCTCTCCAGCAGCTCCCTGTCCTTCTTGAACTGAGGGGCCCAGAACTGGACACAATATTCCAGATGGGGTCTCACCAGGGCAGAGTAGAGGGGAAGGAGGACCTCTCTCGACCTACTAACCACCGCCCTTCTAATACACCCCAGGATGCCATTGGCCTTCTTAGCCACAAGGGCACAGTGTTGGCTCATGGTCATCCTGTCGTCCACTAGGACCCCCAGGTCCCTCTCCCCTACACTGCTCTCTAGCAGGTCGTTCCCCAACCTATACTGGAACCTGGGGTTGTTCCTGCCCAGATGCAGGACTCTACACTTTCCCTTGTTATATTTCATCCCGTTATTCCCTGCCCAACTCTCCAGCCTGTCCAGGTCTCGCTGGATGGCAGCACAGCCTTCTGGCGTGTCAGCCACTCCTCCCAGCTTAGTGTCATCAGCAAACTTGCTGATAGTACACTCAATTCCCTCATCTAAATCATTGATGAATATATTAAATAATACCGGTCCCAGTACTGACCCTTGAGGCACTCCACTAGTTACAGGCCTCCAACTAGACTCAGCCCCATAGACTACAACTCTCTGGCTTCTCTCCTTCAGCCAGTTCGCAGTCCACCTCACTACCTGGTCATCCAGTCCACACTTCCTCAATTTAGCCGTGAGGATGCTGTGGGAGACTGTGTCAAAGGCTTTGCTGAAGTCAAGGTAGACCACATCCACCGCTCTGCCATCATCCATCCACCGTGTTATTTCCTCATAAAAGGCTAAGAGATTGGTCAAACATGATTTCCCCCTGGTGAAGCCATGTTGACTGCCCCTCATAACCCTCTTATCCTTGATATGCCTTAAGATGGCACCAAGGATAAGGTGTTCCATCACTTTCCCAGGGATGGAGGTGAGGCTGACCGGTCTATAGTTACCCGGGTCCTCCTTCTTGCCCTTTTTGAAGACTGGAGTGACATTTGCCTTCCTCCAGTCCTCAGGCACCTCTCCCGTTTCCCAGGACTTGGTAAAGATGATGGAGAGTGGTCTAGCAATGACTTCCGCCAGTTCCCTCAGCACCCGCGGGTGCATCCCATCTGGACCCATGGATTTATGGACGTCCAGATTGCTCAACTGATCTCTAACCCATTCCTCATCGACTAAGGCAAGTCGCTCCGTCGACCTGACTTCATCTAAGGTCTCAGGGGTATAGGGCTCTTCAGGACGGCCTGCAGCAGAGTAGACAGAGACAAAGAAGGCATTCAGTAACTCTGCCATCTCTGCATCTTCTGTCACCAGGGCACCCATCCCGTTCATCAGTGGGCCTACATTGCCTCTGGTGTTAGTTTTGTCTGCCATGTACTTGAAAAAGCTCTTTTTGCTGTCCTTGACCCTTCTTGCCAGGTTTAATTCTAAGGAAGCCTTAGTCCTCCTAGCTGCCTTCCTACATCCCCTAGCAGCAGCCTTATATTCCTCCCAAGTGGCCAGCCCCTCCTTCCATGACCTGTAAACTCTCCTCTTCCACTTGAGCATACCCAGCAATTCCCTATTTAGCCACACAGGTCTCTTGGCCCTCTTCCTTGACTTCCTACGTGTCGGGATGCTCCGATCTTGAGCACGGAAAAAGCAGTCCTTGAATGTCAACCAACTATCTTGGGCCCCTTTTCCTTCAAACAGCCTTGCCCATGGGATTTCCCCTAGCAATTGCTTGAAAAGGCCAAAGTTTGCCCTGCTAAAGTCCAGGGTTGCAATTCTACTTGGTATTCTACTAGTCCTACCACACAAGATCCTGAACTTCACCATCTCGTGGTCGCTGCAACCAAGGCAGCCCTCAACCCTTACTGCTTCAACCAGACCCTCCTTGTTAGTGAGGATGAGATCCAGCAGCGCTCCTCTCCTGGTTGGCTCATCCAC